AGCCAAGGAGGCGGAGACACAGCAAAGTTAAGTAAATTTCCCAGACTGGGGCTAAGGGGTGGGTCGGGATTTGAATCCGCATAACTAAGCACTTGGTGACCCTGCTTCTGGGTCAGGAAGGAATTGGAGGCACCCCTCTCCTCTCTGACCCCACGCTGCTTCTCCAAGTTGTTGGAGTAGGCAATGCAGGGGCCGCAGAGTCAAGTGTCTATCAGATGCTCAGCAGCAGACGTGAGGGAAACCACTGGGTGGGGACAGTGGTGACCAGGCTGCACATGTCCCTTGGGTGACTGTTGCCATATTACAATGCAGGCCCGATGTCTCCAGAACTTCTGATTTTTTTTAAAGATAAGCTGCAAATTAAGATTTTGAAATGTAAAAATGTCCCAATTTAAAAATGGTGGCAACAGAATTAAAAAAAAAAATCCCTGTGCAAGTCAGGCGGCCAGTCTGCAGCATCTGGATGTTTGCCTTGTGCAGGGAGAGGGCTGCAGGCTGGGGAGGAGGAAGCCAGAGGCCTCAGCCCTGCCTGACCCTGCCTGACCCCTATCACTGCCCTAATCCTCCCTAGGCAGCCCTCTGCTTGCTCCCCATGCCATTAACCTCCCTCCCCAGCTCTTCCTGGGAAACCCACTGAGGCCCAGGGAGCCAAGGCTATGACAGCGGGGCGTGGGGGTGCCTGTGGGGGGGAGATGGGGTGGGAGGGGCTTTGCTGGGAGACAGGGACTCAGCCCTTCCCAGGGCCAAGGAACCACAGCTCTGGTCACGCCTTGAGCAAGTCAGGGAAAGAATCAAAGCCTCAGAATAAAGCCCCTAATATTCATCATGTGACCTGGTTCCTTCTTCTGCCTTTCCCCACCCCCTCATCCCTCCTTCTGGCTCCCTTCCCCTTCCTGTCCGCCCTCTTTTACCTCCTCTTCCCTCCCCTCCCCTGGCTCCCTGGTTTCCAAAACATTAGCTGAATTTCCTTTAGCAGTGTTGGTTTTAGACAACTGCAGTCCCTGTGAGGTTTCTCTGGGGGCACGGAGCTGTGATCCAGAAAAATTCAAACTAGGCTTCCCAGACATCCAGGGGTGGCCTGTGTATTCACTCAACAAACCTGGGTGGAGCTATTGTTCACATTGGAGCCCTGTGTGCTGTGCTGGGCACACCGTTCACGCATCCGTTCATTCATCAGTCCTCAGACGGCCTTAGTCTTCCCATAGCATTAGAGTGAAATGCACATTCCTCACTATCTGCCCACAGCTCATCTCTCTGCTTTTCTAGCCCAGTCTCCTGCCTCATGGCCCCTTATCCACCCTGGCCTCTTTGTTATCCTCACACGCACCACACACCCTCACCGTAGCGACTTTCACTTGCGGAGTTGAAGTCCCCCCTGGTCAGGGAACTCAGAAAACAAGAAGCAGTTATGTGATAGAGCCAGCCTAGGTGACTGTGGGAGCTCTGAGGAGGGGCCTAATCCAGGCAGACTTCCTGGAGGAGGCAACTGAGGCTGAGTTTTGAAGAACAAGTCAGAGTTAGCCAGGTCAGAGGGAGATGGGAGTGGATGGGTGGGGTGACAGAGGTGTTCCAGGCAGAGGGAAACCCTTGGGTGAAGCTTGGAAGATGGGGCACATGGGGCATTCATGTTGGAATTGCAGGTGGTGTGGTCAGGCCCACATCAGACAAAGCTCACAGCCAGGCTGGGTGCTGTGCATTTGCTGGGATCCCTTAGACAGATGACATAAACTCTGTGCTTCCATTTCCCCACCTATAAAATGGAAAGTATATTAGTCCCAGTTTTATGGGGTTGTTAGGAGGCAGATGGGTTAAGACGCAGATGGGTCTCAGAAGGGCCTGGCACGCAGTGAGCACTAGTCAGCGTCAGCTCCGCTTGGTGGGAAAGCCCATGAGCATCTGGGGAAGAGGCAAGCTTCCTCTCAAGGGCAGTGGAGAGCTGGGATGCAGGGCAGGGGTGCAGTCAGACTGGGAAGATTGGAGGCTGCTCTGGAGCCAGGAGGAGGCTGCTTGGGAGGGAGGGAGCGAGGAAGGGAGAAGCTGGAGCCTGGGGGTGGGGGTGGGGGTGGGAGGGGGAAAGGGGGAGCCTGGCCAGTACCCCCTGGTTAAGAAGGTGGGCTCGAGGCAGACCCCCCGGATGCAAATCCCTGCTTTCGCCTCTTACTCGCTCTAGAATCTTGTCAAGCATCTTAACTCAGTTTCCCAATCTGTAAAGTGGGCATGACAATAGTACCCCCCCCCCCAGAGAGTCATGATGAGTAGAAATGAGTTCATTCATGAGAATCGCTCAGAACGTCATGAGTACTTAATATCCATCTGATCAGCTAGGATTATTATTAAATATAAAGTTAGTGGATGAAAGGAAAGGCTGCTGACGTTATTTTTGCCTGGGACAAAAAGGATCTCAAATCGGGCCTCCTACCTTGGCAGCTGCGCTGTGTGGGAAGCCTGGGGGCCAGGAGATGTGTAGTGTAGGCTCCTCCCCAGCAGGTAAATCACTGCCGATCTCCTAAGGGGCCAGCCCCGACATCGCCATCGCTGATAAAGGAGAAAACAGGAGCTCGCTGCTTTGTGTCTGCATATAAGACGTATAGCTCACTCTTCTGGAGCCCAAAGCCGCCCAGCAGCTGGTAGAGCATGAGAGAATGTCCAGGGTGGGCAAGAGAGGTGGGATGGACCCACGTCCACTTTCCTGGGTTTTCTTCTCTGAGCCTCCCTTCTTTGGGGAGCAGAACTTGCCCAGCCTCGAGAGAGGCCCGGGTTCTCTCCTTCAATCGCTGTGTGACCTCAGGAGATCTGCCAAGCCTCTCTGAGCACCAGTGTTCTCATCTATAAAGTGGGGATGGTGATACGAACCTCCCATAGTTGGTGGGTGGATTGAGGACAATATACAAGTCGAAGGCCCTAGACAATGGGTCCTCTGGGTCTCACAGAGGGTTCAGCTGGTAATGAATCAAAGTTGCTCTGGAAATTGTAATCATTAAGGGCACAAGTGTGGGGAGTCAAGCAGAACAGCCTTGCACCCCAGCTTGGGCAATTCACTGAACCGGAAGTGCCCACCTCACTGGGGAGGAGTAGATGGGATGATGGGCCTAGGGGCTCAGTTCAAGGCCTGGAGCACAGGAGGGCTCCGTAAATGCTGGCTGGGATCTTACTAGGTGTACTTGGGCTGGGGGGGAGAGGACTGTGTGCCCCGAGGGGGAGACCCGTCTCTGGGCTACAACGTGGGACTCTGGGGCCATGGGAGGTATCCTCTAAATCCCCTGAGCAAACAAGGGCAGTTTGCTGCAAAGGCAGGCGCAGGAGACTTGGAGGAGGGACAGCATCCTTGTGAGCAGTGTGACAGGCGTCCGGCTGCAAAGACGAGGCTGGGAAGAGCCTGGAGCCTCCCGCCCTGCGTGGGGTGTCTCAGGGGAATTCCCCATTTCCAGTTGGGAGAAAGGTCCTGTGCCCCCTTTTGAATGGCGTTGAGTCTTGATATTTGGTTTATAAGAGTTAATTATGAGAGGAAGAGCTTTTAACAGACTATTTGTGAAGCATGAACTCCCATGCCTAGCATTTACTGCATGTGCCTGCTATGGGCGGGTCAGGGACACAGCCCATGACAGGTAGCGCCCGTGTCCTGAAGGAGCTAACACTCCAGTGGGGGCGACGATGCTCGCCAAGAACAATAGCAAACAGACACCAAATCCATAGGATCCTATGAGATGGTGAGCGCTCTGGTTCCAACAAAGCAGCGTGACAGGAGAGGGACCAGGAAGCGGCATTAAATGCAGGGGGCAGCAGATGGCTCCCTGGTGATTTGACATTGCCTTCATCTAATTACAAGAAGGAGCAAGCCCTGTGAAGATCGGGCTAAGAGTACTGCAGAGCGGGGGATGGAAAGTGCAAAGACCCTGGGGTAGGAGCAAGCTTGCAGGTTTGAGGAACACAGAGAGAGATGAAAACAAGACACAGCTCCTGCCTTCATGGAGCCAAAGCCTGAAGACTCAGATAATTAGCAAATAGTGGAATATTTTGATGGAGGAAGCACAAGTTTCAGGGTGAATGCAAAGGAGGAGCATCCTCTCCAGCCTCGGAGATCAGGGAAAGCTGCCTGGAGGAAGTGATATCAAATGTAGGGCCTAAATTAGCAGGTAACAGAAGAGGAGAGGAGGGGTTTTCCAGCAGACGGAACAGCATAAGCCTAGTCCTAGAGATGGGACAGGGCCTGATACATTTATTAGGGGAATTGCAAGTAGCCGGATATGGTTGGGACCAAGTGTTAGGGTGTAGGGATGAGACTGAGGGTGTTCCTGTCATTTAGAAAAGGGGCCAGGCCTGACCCAGCCTAACAGATGTGAACGCAGAATTGTCATGCTGAGCGGGACATTTTAGGGTGGGCAGGAGGGTTCCAAGAAGGAACTGGAGGCAGGGAGGCCAGCTCGGAGAAGGTAGAACGATGGCCATGGCAAGTAGAATGCTGGGGTGAAAAAGGCAAATTCCAGAGAACTTACAAGGCAGAAAGGACTGGTCTGGGTACAAGCTGAGGCCTGGGGACAAAGGCAGGTGATGGGGCCTCAAAGAATCCAGGAAAGCAGATGCTGAGTGTCTTCTGGCTTGGGGGATGGGCAAAGTGGGTTTTGAAGGCTGACGGACCCAGGTCAAGTCCTGGCTTGTCCACTGCCTAGCTGTGCGGGCAATCACTTGCCCTCTTTGAGCCTCAACTTCCCCACCTATCTGATAAAAATAGCAGAGCCCACCTCCGGAGCTATTACGCAGATGAATGTGAGCTCGGGGAAAAGTTGCTGGCATGTGGCAGGTACTCAGCACGTCAATTCCCTTCCTTGACCCCTGGCCTTGGGCACCCACTGAGCCTCCTGGGGCCTCTATTTTCCTGACTGTGAAATGGGAATGAGAACATTGGCCTTGCAGTATTTCCGCAGGGGTTGGCGAGATGGCCCAGGACACTGACACAGAGTAGGCGCTCACAGATTCATCCTCTTCTCTTCCTCCCTCCCCAGCGGGAAGAGCAGAGACAGCATGGCCTGGCAGGAGCTGGTGCTGGCCGCCTACCTCCTCGTGTTCCCCTCCGCCATGGCGGACTGCCTGTCCCGGTGCTCCTTGTGTGCTGTGAAGACCCAGGACGGGCCCAAGCCCGTCGACCCTCTGGTAGGTTTTAGGATGCCCAGGTCCTGGGCCTGTGTGTGGAAGGGGCCATCTGTGCGGAGTCTGGGCCACTGTGTGTCTGTCCTGTAGACTCGTCCTACCTGTGCCAGATAGATCCTGCCCTTGAGTCGGCCGGCGCAGGTTCCCACCTCCATCCCCACCTCGGACCTCACCACCACCACCACCACCGGCTTGCTCCGTTCTGGGAAAGACACTCAGGTCTCCAGGGAGCCTGATGCCTGGCAACAAGGAGGGTCATTAAGGAGGCAGTGCTGGCTTTGGGAGTGGATAGCCTTTTGGTAACTTTCCAGGGCTTCTTACCACCAGGCTGCTGGGCGCCTCCCAGTCTAGTCATTCCCATGGAAGGAGATCTTTCCACCACCACCAAATGCCAGGATCTGGTGGACAGGATCCAAGCCTTGACCCTTCTCCTGGGTCTTAGTGTCTCTTGGCCTGGCCTTGTTGGCTTTGCTTTGAATCAAACTCCCCCACGTGTCTCTTCCTTGATGGCAGACAGGTGAGAGTAAAGGTCCCAAGGGTGTGGTGGATGGAGCACTGCCGCTTTCTCACTCCGAGACCCCGGAACTCCGCCTCTTCAGTTTCCACACCTGCAAAATGGGCGTGATTCTATGAGATAACAATGCAAAGTCCTCAACACACAGTTCTAGTCGCTCTTCAGCGAGAGGCACATGATCACAGGGGAGCACAGAGGTTAAGCACCAGGGCTTGTGGCATTAGCCTGCCTGGGTCCAAGTTCCAGAATTGTCCAGTGTTGTCACTGCTATCCTCATGACCATCATCATGTTCACATTCAAATTCCCCCAGCACTCCTATGAAGGAGATACTTTTGTCCCCCGGGTTTGATGAGTCCTCAGACCCCTCACATGTGTTCTCTCCACCAGCCTGCATGGCTTCCGTGTCTCTCTATCACATGGCAAGAATATCCTTCACACTTGGGAAAGGTGGGGAGAACCAAATACTCCCTCTGGAGTCAGGAGCTCAGAGGATGAGTGAGAACACCACAGAGAACTCCAGGAAGATCTTACCTGGGATGTTGGCATTGCGTTTCGTAGCCGCGTTTCCCTGGGAAAGTTGTTCCACCTCTCCATGTCTCTTTCCTCCTCTTACACACAGGTGCACAGTCCCCTACCTTCATGCACCCCTGGGAGCATTGAAGTGGGAAGCCTGGGGCTTAGTAATGGCAGCTACTTTTGATTTTCTGACATGGGAACAGGGACTATCTGGGGCAGGGGAGTGCATGGCGCTTGATGGTCCAACGGGGGTGATGTTACCACTCTGGTCTTTGGGGGGGTTTGCAGATTTGTTCCCTGCAATGCCAGTCCGCTCTGCTACCGGCTGAGGAGTGGGAGACATGCCAAGGCCTTCTGTCCTTTTTCACCCCCTTCACCTTCGGGCTCAATGGCAAAGAAGACTTGGAGACCAAGGCCGCTTTGGAGGAACCCTATAGTGAGCTGGCCAAGCGCTCTGGGCCCTTCCCGAAGGAGCTTGAGGAAAACAGATTTCTCCTCAGCACTCCGACAGAGGAGAATGCCCTGAGCAGGAGCCTGGCGGAGAAGCTCTGGGGTTTCTCTGGCAGATTGGGTGAGGGAGGGGAGTCTGAGCTGATGGGGGACACCCAGCTGAATGATGATGCCCTGGAGGCTGGGGCATTGGATTCCAATGAGGAGGACACCAAGGAGCAGGTCAAACGCTATGGGGGCTTCTTGCGTAAATACCCCAAGAGAAGCTCAGAAGTGGCTGGGGAGGGGGATGGGGACGGAGGTAGGGCGGGCCACGAGGACCTGTACAAACGCTACGGTGGCTTCTTGAGGCGCATCCGTCCCAAGCTCAAATGGGACAACCAGAAGCGCTATGGAGGTTTTCTCCGGCGCCAGTTCAAGGTGGTGACTCGGTCTCAGGAAGACCCCAATGCCTACTCTGGAGAGCTTCTTGATGGGTAAACCCCTCCCCATCGTGGAGTTGAGTCAGGAGCTCCCCCTGACACCCTTCCAGATTAGAGTGCCCTCATCCATCCTACCTTACATCCCCTGAACCCATGCTTAGTTCAGCCAGGTCTGCAAAACATCCAAACCCAGCCTGCCTCTTTTCTGCCTGGGGTGCAGTGTTTGTCTGGAGTCAGCAAGGAGGAAGGATGGAGGTTCCCCTCTCCAGTAGGCTCAGTGCTTGGTCCCAACTCTAGAACATTGAAACTACTGCCAACAGCAGCTTTTGCTATTAACCCCTCCCCCCCATTAATGTGACTCCCCAGTTCCAGGAATCCAGACTGACTTGTTCTTCATCCCTCTAGATAAATAGCAAAACAAGATAAAGAAACAAATAGAAATCCTAACACTTTATCCCAAACCTTAAAGGACCTCCTTGTGCTCCCCACTTCGGAGACCATGCTTTAGGTAAAACACTCAAATGCTGCATTTTATTGGAGCAGGAAGTTCTACACTAGAGCGTTCAGTCCTCCAGTGGGCACGTGTTCAGTTGTGTTCTCTGTGTTCTCATCGTTTAGAAACTCACTTCTCGAGGAACCGAGTTCCTGGACTCCAGTTCATGTTGGTACCTTGGATAGCACCCAACTCCTCACGTGAGAGGAAGGGCATGAAAACCCCTTCCAAAATGGTAATGAGAGCAGTTCTCCCACTGAATACTGAAATGATCAGGAAGGGAGCAAGACAAACCAATTTGCTCTGTGCAGCAAACTAAAAATGTGGACCAGTTCCTTCCGCCCTCATTAAACTAATTAAACAGATCAGCAGCACTCCTACCCCAGGATGAACTGAAGCTGAGTCAAGTTGATGAGGTTAAGCACAACCATGTTCTTGAGCAGCTGAATTGGCCGCCAAGAGTCTTAGCCATCTGGCCAAACATATGCATTGGGCATTGGGTAAGGGAATCCAGAAGCAACAGCTAGAAAGACAAAAAGGCCTTCTTCAACCCCTGTGATGATTCTTTCCTCTTGATTTCTCAGAATAAAACCAGAAAGAGGCATGAAGTGATTAAGTGCTTGAGGCCAAATGAATTCTCTTGATTCAAATAACCCAGAATCAGAGGCAGAGACCTCCCAATGTCTTGGTTTCAATCAAAGTCTTCTCTCTCTGTTGCTCTTGCTCGCTCATCCCCAGGCACTATGGTTTGGTCTGTGGGTCCAGGAGGCTGGGCTGGATAGGAGAGGAAAGGGTCTTGAGTTCAGTTAATTTGTATAAGATGCTACTGAGCATACCTCTTCATGCACAACCCCCAGGTCCCTCATGATGTTCTGAAATGTATGGATTGTTGTAGGGTTAACTTCGTGTGCTTTTAAAAAATCCCACTTATGCAATTTACCCAGAATTTGCTTATTCTTTAGCAGGCCTATGTTATTTCCTACTCCTCCAGTGCAATAAATAAAAGAAAGATGGTGATGACTCGGGGTGTGTATGTGTGCGCCTCAGTCTCCAGAGCATGGAAAGACCATTTGCAGAAAAGAGTGCTGGGGAATGAAAAATACACACACAGACACACACACACAGACACACACCCACATATTCATGTCAGAAAACTAAGTGTAGGATAACAGAAAGCACAGACTTGAGAATGCCTTCACCCTAAATTTGAGATCTGTGTGATGTTGGGTAAGTTATTTGCCTCTCTGAGCCTTAGTTTCCTCTCCTGTAAAAGAAAGACCCCCTGACTCCCAGGGACCGTCTCCTATGCTGGATTACTAAGGCAAGAGGGACAACTGTTCCTAGACAAAGGTGAACTCTCTAGAGAGTGCGTGGCATAATGTCCTTTACTAAAATGACATGCTTTATTAAATGGCATCGAGGAGATATCTTTACATAGGGCTGGTGTGGAAGAGTCTCAGTAGCTCCAGACCTCGTGGGTCCCATTTGGCCACTGGTTTTCTGAGTGACTTTATAGAAAACACAGGGCCAGGGAGTTCGGTCTCCTTCCTTCTTTCCTTCATTCAAGAAAGAATTCATTGAAAGCCTACTGTGTGGTAGGTCTTTTTCTAGGTGCTGGAGGTACAGGAGAATAAAATGGACAAGGTCTCAGCTCTTATGGAACTTACAGTCTATGGGTGGGCAGACAAGTAAACAAAAATATAAATCTAAAATTAAAAATTAAATTTAAAAAATAAAAATGTAATGAATGTAAAATTAAATATAAATGAAATTTAAAATAGTGGTAATTATTGTGAAAGGAACAACTAGGATTTAGTAATAATGGATAATAGGGGTAGGGGAGGAATATCCCCAGGGTGTTCAGGAAATCTTCCTTGAGGGATATTCTATTCTTGCTGTTCATAGGATCATCAAGTTGGAAGGAGCCTAAGGTTGGGATTATCTCCTCCAACTACCTACTCTGTGCCAAAATTGACACACTGACAATAAATTTTTAACTTGGATTTCGCAACATATTGCTACTCCTTAATAATTCAGTGTGGGGAAGTTCTATCTTTATGTTGGGTTGAAATTAAGGTTTCTTGTCACTTTGATGCATTGGGTCCTGATTTTGCTGTCTACCAGCCCAGGAACCTTTTCAGAATTTTCTGTTGCTTGCAAACAAATGGCTCCTAACTATCTCAAATAAGTTAAATGAACAATAACAAAAAAAAAAAAAAAGAAGAAGAAGAAGAAGAAGAAAAGAAAAGAAAAACCTAAACCTAAACCCAAAACTAAAACCAAAACCAAAACCAAAACCAAAACAACTAAGTAATTTGTTGGCTCACATAAATGAATACAGGATATTTACTTCAGGTACAGCTTGATCAAGGGCCTCAAAAAGAACACTGACACTTCTCTATCACTAAGATTTTTTCTCCTCTGTGTTGGATTCATTCTCAGACTCCACATGCTTTTCAGTTGCTGACAACAGCTCCAGGCTATACCATGCAGGTTCATGTCTAGCATGCTATTTTCACAGGAAATCCCCATCAGAGTTTCACTGTACCTCATTAGCTCTGATTGGGTCATATGTCCAGTCCTGAGCTCTTGCCAATCATTATGGACAGGTTAATGTGATGCTCTGATTGTCAGGATTAAACCACATGGGCAGCCAGGGATCGATTCAATCCAACTCAAAGACCATGAGAGACGATGGACTCTGAAAAACAAACTGAGGGTTCTATAGGGGAGGGGTGTGGGGGGATGGGTTAACCTGGTGATGGGTATTAAAGAGGGCACGTTCTGCATGGAGCATGGGGTGTTATATGCAAATAATGAATCATGGAACACTACATCAAAAACTAATGATGTAATGTATGGTGATTAACATAACATAATAATAATAAAAAAACACAAAACAATCCAACTCAAAGTAGTTGGACTAGAAGTGGGGAAGGGGAAGTTTTTCTGAGGACAATTGGAGCATGGTTCCCAGTAGGAGAAAGAATAAATGCCAGCCCACCAAATAATAGATTGTCAACCCCCCCCCCCCCACCTCAGTGAGTGAAATTAGCTGGGTGGGACCTGGGGCAAACTGGAGAGTGTATGTCATGGGGAATATGGGCTCAGGGTAGCCAGATTTGATCTTTAAGAGACCACGGAAATCTGACTTTGCTTTTTCTCCATGTAAGTAATTTTTTAAAAGAAGTATTGAGTAGGACAAACAATGACATCTTTGGGACAAGACACATCACTTTCTTACCACTGTTCTGTGACCTCTCTAAATATTTTTTTTTTAAATAAGAAACACTTCTTTTTTGGGTTTTTACATTCTCTGCATATGCCATGATTCCAGAATGCTATTGCTCTCTACTCCCTTTTCTGGACCCATTTCACTTGGTCAATGAGGCATGGCCATGGACGGTGGAAAGAACCTGGCTAGGGGTCACAGAGAGCTAGGCGGAGATCCCACTTTCCTGGGTGGCTCTGGGAGAGCCACTGCACTTCACTGAGCCTTGGTCGTGTGTGTGTGTGTTTAAGATTTATTTATTTATTTGAGAGAGAGAGAGAGAGAGAGAGAGAGCGCATGCGCGCAAGTGCGGGGAGGGGCAGAGGGAGAGAGAGAGGGGAAACAGACTCCCCCACTGAGCGCAGAGGGAGATCATGACCTGGGTGGAAACCAAAAGTCAGATGCTTAACCAGCTGAGCCACCCAGGCGCCCCTGAGCCTCAGTTTTCAATCTGTCGACTGGGGAGGAAAACTCTGACTTCCCTCACCGAAGGTGAGGTTTCGGTAATGGGAAGTCTCAGGTGCATCTGGCACACAAGAGGCTTATGACACGAGATGCTGCCTCATCTTGAAGGGTGATGCCTCTGATGACGGTATTCCAGATGTCACCTGAGCGAGGCAGACACCTGTGGAAAGAGCAAAATTCTCCCTATGGTAAGAGAAGGATGAAATAAAAAAAAAAAAATTATTTTCTGTTGCTCTATAACATACATGCTGTCGAGTGTACTTAATCTTAAGTGTGCAGCTCAGTGGATTCTTACATATGTATACACCCCTGTGACCACCACTCCGATCACAATATAAAACATTTCCAGGACCCCAGAGGGGTGATCACTTTTTTATGAGGGATGGAGAGCAAGCCAGAGGAAGGATTGGAACAAAAATATCGCAGACCCTGCAGAGTCCTGATTCTCTGTCCATGTCACCAAGGCCACTGTGCAGCAATCACCGATCAGTCATTGGTTAAGGGATGCCAACATCCCGGTAACCTTAGAAGAGCATGTTACTAATAAGCACGCCGTTTCCACGACAACGCCATACACCATCCGCAGCGAGGAAAGTCTTTTTATAATGATCATGACAATCATAATGATCTCTCGGATTTAGATCATCCCTCCCCCACCCCCAGCTCCAAGCCCTTCACACAAACAGGCCCAGTGATGGGGCTTATCTATTAATTAAGGGCCCCCAAGTGAAGACAACAAAAATCCCCACGACAGAGCTGGGAACAATGGTTCCCTAATAGGTGTCATTTCAGCATTCTTGATTCATGTGCTGCATCCATGTGGACTCCCACTGTAGCTCTGGAGGTTTATAACAAAGATTTATAATTATTCTTCTGATATGTAAATTCGTACGTAAGTTGCACTTCTACCCTATTTGTCTTGTTCCTGTCTAACTTAAGCCAAGCCCCATTATTCCTTGTCCCCAGGACTCCCCTCATTCTTAGTTGCTTTTGATGTGAAGTTTGCCATCGGAAAATGCCCACCTAGCTCGTTCTTAACCTCCCTGTTACACCAGCATAGCTCCTAAAGGGCTTGCCCCCGTGTCTGTGAAATTTGGGAGTGCTTTCCTGTCCCTGGGAAGATCCATGCGGGGTTTGGACTTGGAGAAGGAAGGAGCACTGGACTGAGAGTCTGGGGACCTAAGCAGCTGATTGAGTGTGGCCAGGCTCTGCTAACTCATAATGGGAGTGGGCTTTGGATTCTCCAGGACACAGTTTTCTCTTTTGTAACATGAAAAATGTAAAATGGATAATATCGTAAGGACTTTTGTCCTTTCTAAAGCTGACACATAACACTTGTCCTGCATCAAGCCCTGCACCAATAAATGATGAACAAAGCAAATGACCTTCAGTTTCCTTGTCTGATAATGGGGGTGATGATTTCTACCCTGGCAGGTAGTGGGGGTCACATAAGAAGACACAGGAACAGTGCTAACACCATCCCAATCTGAATTCATCCGATCACCTGATGAATGTTTATTGAGCAACTGTTGTATACCCTGCACTGGGGTAGGGGCAGGGGATTCAGCAGTGATCAAGTAGAGTCCCTACTTCATGGGGCTCACTTTCTAGGAGGAGGAGAGCAATCACCTATAGATTAACCAATGGGTCAATGTTTCAGGGGGGTATGGGTGCTATGAAGGAAATTAGAGGGTACAAGATGCAAGTGTTGGCAGATGGGAGGAGTTACTCAGGGGAGTCCCAGAGGCTTCTCTGGTTGGGGAGCCCATTTGGCCAGAGGTGTGTAGGAGGTGGGGAGGGGGAGCCTTGTGTGTATCTGGGGGAGAGCATTCCAGGCAAGGGAGCAGTGGTGCAAAGGCCAAGAGGAGGGTGCATATTTACTGTGTAGAAAAGAGTAAGAAAGCCAAGGGGAGGAGTGAGGGCAGAGGGTAGGAGGCAGGCTGCAGAAGCAGATAGGACAGGTCACAGACACCCGCCCCCCCACCCCGCCCCAGGACTCGGCACTGTCCCGGTGTGCACCATTACCCATAGAATTACTAGAGACTCCTTTACTCTCAAAGTGCCTGTCTTGGGTAATATAGCATCTCATTGCCCAACTTATGGGCACGGGAAGGACCTTGACTTTTGCTCGGGGTGAGGTGGGAGCACTGGAGGGTCTTAAGCACAAGAGGGACATTACCTGACACAAAAATTCAGAGGTATCAACGCTAGCTGCCATGTGGAGAGCAGGCTGCAGGGAGCATAGGGGTATCAGGACTCTGCCAGTGGTGTTGGTGGATTGCATTTAAGAAACCAGAGG